CGCGCGGGTGGACTGGCTGCAGCGAGACAGTGTGCTCTAGTGGGTAGAGCGCTGGGCTGGTACTCAGGGGACCCCAGTTCTGTCCCAGCTCCGCCACTGGCCAGCTGGGGGGCCTTGGGCAAGTCACTTTGCACAAACCCCATGCCAGCAAGTCATTTCTTTCTTCGCTCACGGGGTGACTTGCTGCAGCGAGACAGTGTGCTCTAGTGGGTAGAGCGCTGGGCTGGTACTCAGGGGACCCCAGTTCTGTCCCAGCTCCGCCACTGGCCAGCTGGGGGGCCTTGGGCAAGTCACTTTGCACAAACCCCATGCCTCAGTTTCCCCAATGGGACCCCTCTGAAGAACGTGCTCGGAGAGTGACTGATGAGCTAGGTACTCCTCTTGCATTGGAGGGCTTGTTTCTCCCCTTCCTTAGGTCTGGAGTGAGCTTCAGAAAAGCCACAGACAGTCCGGGTCCTTCGCTCCCCGGGAGCAGTGACTGGGGAACGCCGGGGCAGGGAGCGCTGGGCTGGGCTGGGCCCGGGCCCCGCTGCAGCCTGTTTGTGAGCTGGGCTGTAGCCGCAGGGCCTGGGGGCTGGTCTCGCGGACGGCGTGGGGGCTGTCCTCGCGGCCGGTCGGATGCCGCCAGCTCCAGGTGCCGGTGCAACGGTTACCGTTTTGTGGAGTCGTGGGAGGGGGACTCTGCACTCACCTTTGCCTGCTTCTCTCCCCCGCCTGCGCCGGGCCAGAGGGTGAAGGTGAGCCTGCTGCCTGGCGTGTGCATGATCCCGCCCTCGCCTGCCGCTCCACCCTGCATGTGCGGGGGGGGGTCTTGCTGCGCCACGTGTTCCCGGGCCAGGCTGCTTGTGCCGAGTGCAGCGCTCAGGCTGGGCTGGCCCCAGCGCGTTAGAGAAACGGGGGGAGGGGTGATCTCTGGGGGACGGCCGCGAGCACAGCGCCCCGGTCAGCACAGCTCTGAGTTATGTTAGCTCTTCCGTCTTGCAGACACGATGGACATGAGGCGAGGGAGGGAGAGGGGCGCAACCCGGGAGCGGTGCGAGTGAGCCACTGGTGGCACAAGATGCCCGGCTGGAGGGGGATCCTTCCTTGCAGGCAATGGTAGATCCCGACCGGAGTCAGCTTCAAAGCTCTGCTCTAGGCGTTCCTGTGGGGCGGGCTGTGATCCCTGCTGGCCTTGGAGGCCAGGAATCTCGGCGTGCAGGCGGGGGCTCACACTAGCCCCTCCAGCGCGCCGAGCCGGGAGACGAGCAAGACTGCAAGTATCGCAGTGCGAGAGATGGTGGGAGAGCCCTAAGCATGGAGCTGTGAGCCGCTCCGGGGTGGGCCCGGCTCCGTTCCCGCGGCCTCGCGTGGGGACTCCAGTGCTGTTAGCGCGGGCTCTCTGGGCTCCCTGGCACCTGCCATGACAGACAGAACATGCCGCGGTGCTAGCGTGAACGGGAGACGAGCAAGACTGCAAGTATCGCAGTGCGAGAGATGGTGGGAGAGCCCTAAGCATGGAGCTGTGAGCCGCTCCGGGGTGGGCCCGGCTCCGTTCCCGCGGCCTCGCGTGGGGACTCCAGTGCTGTTAGCGCGGGCTCTCTGGGCTCCCTGGCACCTGCCATGACAGACAGAACATGCCGCGGTGCTAGCGTGAACTCGCGTCGGGACACGAGACCCCTGCATCCAGACCGGCTCTCCCTGGACGGGCGTGGGGCGTGCCTGCTGGTCCTTCCTGGATCGCCATCCCGCAGAGGTCAGACAGGGAGGGGACATGACGCACGTGTGGGTGCACAGGCACGATAACCG